CTAGATTTTAAAGTTCTTTCCCACACTCATTCTCTAGAAGCTGTTTTAAACCTTTGTTACCTAACCAAGTTCTTTCTGCATTAGAATAATATTCTTTTGCAATATCACCTACTTTTTAATAAAAAAGACGTGTAATCCAAGATTAGCCTGTGTAAAATAAATATTATTTCCCTAGTTTAGTGCCAATGTTCAGTAGCATGCCTTTTCTTGAAAAAAATTCAACATGATAATCTGTACAGAGTTGTTTGTACATCTGGGAGAAAGCTTAATGGAATTAGCAGCATAATAAAAAAATACAATGATTGTGACTGACACCTGTTGGCTAGTTCCTATGTTTAATATTTCTTTTCTATGCCAAGTCATTTTTGGGATTTTTATTAATATTTGTTTAATGCATGCAAATGGATGTACATCTTTACAAACCCATTCACAACCCAATCTTAGAATCTTGTCTATTCAAATTCCTACCTAGATATTTATTCCTTTACAAGTTAGTAAACTCAGCACTATTTTAAAGAGAAAATAATAGTGCAAAATTTCACTTCAGAGGAAAATTGACTACTCCCAATTCTCCTCCCCCCCCCGCCCCCCAATTTGTTCCAGTCATTGTGACTTTTGTATTTACTTGTCTGGCTGCAATTCAGAACTCAGAGGTTTTTCCCTCCCAAGCACGGATTTCCCATCCATCATTAACTACCTTGCACAGGGCCAAACCCAAGGCTTGGTAGCTGGAAATATTTCCATATAAGTTATTGTGCAGTTGTTTTTGCCCTAAACAAAAATGATTCCTGCCACTGACTAATCTGACAAAAATCCTCGAAGACTGAAGTCTACAACATGTGATTGCAGGTATCTAAGTTCTCCCTGGGTGCTTGCTAGGTATTTTTAAAAATCATTTTAATTTATAAATGGGAAACCCACAAGCTGCAAAGCAAAAGTCTCCAGCAGCATACTGATCCCCAAGAACGCTTTCAGGCCCTTCAAAGGCGCCACAAACTTTCAAAGTCGCGTAGGGTTGGAAGGGACCTGGAGATCCTTGAGTCCAAACTCCTGCTGGAGGCAGGAATCCTCAGACCATCCCAATCAAACAGATGTCCAACCTTTGCTTGAAAACCTCCAGTGTTGAATCCCCATCCCATGTCTTCAGGAAGCATGCTTTTCCATTGATTAATCGCTCTTCAAGTTAGGAAATTCCTCATTTTGAGCTTGGATCTTTATTTGTAAACAATTGTTTGGAGATTGTTTCTGCCCTATCCTTTTGCTCTATGGAGAACATAGCTACCCCCTCTTCTCTGAGACAGCCTTTTTTTGCATTGGAAGACTGTTGTCATTTCTTCCATTGGCCCTCTCTTTTTTAGTCTACACATCCCTTGTTCTTGTCTTAGAAAATAGAATACTGCAGCTGAATGCCCAGAGTTTAGGGTTTTGGACTTTTTTGGAAATATGCCAAAGAACAAATATAAGGGGAGCAAGAATAATTTGCAGTATAAAGTAACTTAGTCATGACTCTAATAGGAAAAAATATCTTTTTAAATTTAAATTTACTTATATGGCTGCCCACTGTGCAAATGCAGCTCTAAGCAGCTAATAAATGCAAAATATCAATACAAAATAATAAAAGAGCATCCAATTCAAATAGAAAATGGCAACCAAGGAAGCCTAATCAACATATTATGGGCTCCAGAATACACTGGAAAACAGCTAAAATAAAATATGTTGCGAATCAGCCAAAATAATAGATGTAGGGGTGGAGGAGAATAAGCTGGAAAACAGCCAAAGTAAGATATGCTGGGAATTAGCCAAAACAATAGATGGAGGTGTGGAGGAGAATATGCTGGAAATTAGTTTAAATATAAAAATGCTGGAAATTAGTTAAAACAATAGATATGGGGTGAAGAAGAATATGTTGGAAGATTAATTAAAATGAAGCGAGATGAGTATGAAATAACTCTGTGTAAAATGAAAAGGGTAATAGATGATAAGTTTAAGAAAATTAGATGTAAGTTAATAGAGTTTAAGATTTAAAGACTTGATGAAATGGGTCTAGGGATGAAGGACTATAGATAGAAATTTGATTCTTAAATGGAAATAAAAATAGAGTTGTGTTTATTTGGAAATTAAGATTTGTGATGATAAAATAATAAGGTGAATACTTAGATTAAGATGTTAGAATATTTGTTAAAAATTTGTGTTTTGATTTTTATGTTAAAAGATGTAATGGAGGAAATTCGGGAAAGAATTGTTAAAGTGTCTTACGCGAATGTACCTATTCATGACCGGATCAAGATTTCGTTCTTAAAAGATGTATTTTATGTTTTTGTTTTTAAAAAATAAAAAAAATATTTTTTAAAAAAAAACATATTTATGGGCTCAACTAACACCCTGACCCCTAAGCAGGGGTGGGTTCTACTTACCTTTACTACTGGTTCACGATGGGAGGATGCGCGCAGAAGCTTCTGCACATGCGCAGATCATCAATTATGATGTCTGGGTGGGTGGGCGGAGCCTCCTGCCGCTTTTACTATTGGTTCTAAAAAGTGGACAGAACCGGGAGCAACCCACCATTGCCCCTAAGCCAACAAAAAGACTTTCCAAAAGGCCATGCAGGGTCAGAGGTTTGTACCTCTATGCCTTAATCTTGCTCTGTAACACTTATTCCACCCATCCTTGGGCACTATGTGTTCATCATACAAGCTTACAGGGCTGCTTTATGCAAAGATCAAGCTCTTAGTTCCCTAAGGCTTCTGACAGTCAATCTTTCTCAACTAGGCTAATCAACTTTCCTTTTACAGACAATGCCAGGATTGAAACCTGCCACCTTCTTATTTAGTTCATAACTTACTTTAAAGTGTAACCCCTTTTATTTATTTCACGTTTAAGTTAGTAAAAATATAACTATAAATAACTACAAACCTCTGAAAAGAATAGCAATAAGCAAAACAGAAAAGTGACAAATTATAAACCGACTTCAATCTTGCAATTATAAACCATTTAGCAATCACCTGAATATCAAATATTAACCAATATACTGCACAAAAGTAAGCAGTTGGTGAGAGGAGTGGGGAGGACGGTGTGGGACCCAGTCAGGGGTGCTATTCAGCAGGTTCTGACAGGTTCTGGAGAACTGGTAGCGGAAATTTTGAGTAGTTCGGAGAACTGGCAAATACCACCTCTGGCTGGCCCCAGAGTGGGATGGGAATGGAGATTTTGCAATATCCTTCCCCCAGGTGTGGGTAAGGAATGGGGATTTTGCAGTATCTTCCCTGGAGAGGGATGGGAATGGAGATTTTGCAATATCCTTCCCCCAGGTGTGGGTAAGGAATGGGGATTTTGCAGTATCCTTCCCCTGGAGAGGGGTGGGAATGGAGATTTTGCAGTATCTTTCCCCTGCCATGCCCACCAAGACACACCCATCAAGCCACGCCCACAGAACCAGTAGTAAAAAAATTTGAATTCCACCACTGGATCTAGTGTGGTGGGAAGCAGGCCCAAGGCTTGCAGGGAGCTGGGGGGGGGGGGAGATAGGTGATGGGGCATTGCAGCATCCCTGTAGTTGGACGTAAGGGCGAATCCACCCAAATTTTGTTCAAGTGGCCATAGGGATTCTGCAGTAATTGCAATTTCAAAACCAGATTATAGCTGGGGGGGGTTGCTGTAACTTAACTTCAAATAGTCGTTACGTGACTGGTCATAAGTGGAGGATTATGAACATTTTAAATTAGAAAAATTAAAATAAAAACAAAAATATCCGCTCCCTAATTTTAGAGTACTGTATAGTTCCTTCATTTTGCCAAATGTTTCTTGTGCTCTTTTCAACATGAAAGATCTGTAATTCCCCAGGACTTTTACCCCTAAACCTCTTGCTTCTCTTAAGTTATGTATATAATGACTATCAAGAATCATATGATAGTCACGCCAAGAATTCCTTTGCTATGAAACATTACAGGACAGAATTAGGGTTCTCATGAAGCCCATGCATTCCCATTTACAGTTGTCGCAGACCAGCAACAGATATGTCCTATGTCCCATATTATTTGTGAGCCCGAAAAATATAAAATGTCCTCTGATTTCTCCCTTTCCCTTTCTCTTTTACTCTGTTGTGGTTCCCCAACCTTGGTTAAGGCAGTCAATTTTGTAATCCTGATTTCCCTAATGTGGAACTCCTACATACAAGTGGGAATTGCTACTCCCAGAAGTTCAATTCCTGTTTGGTGGACACAGCATGCTTGGAAACCAGCAGATTGAAGAGAATCTAACTTAATTAAATCAGCTGCCTAGAGCAGGATTCTTCACCCACTAGTTTCAGTATCTAAATCTAACTCTACCCTATTATCTCTATTAGAGAAAAGACTGTCTGGTCAGCCTTATGCACCAGGGCTAATTTTGGTTCCAAGACTGAGCAGAATGCTTTCCCATTCTTTATCCAAAAGAAAAACTCCCAAACAGCCAGGAACCTATCCCTCTTTTTTTCAGAAACTTAACTACAAACATCTGTGAATCATCTCTCCTAGAGTAATTACAGCCTTCCTCAAAATTCCTAAATTTTAGGTAATCCCTAAACATTAATCCCTTAAACGTTTCTTCTCTTAAAAATTAAGCATCTGAAATGTGCTTCCCATCGCCTTCAAACTACCTTTCATTCCTCTTTGGTTGAACGAGCCCATACCCTTAAAATAGAAATAGGCTTTATTAGGTGGACTTTGAGTCAGGTCTCTTTCCAACGCGGATTCTCGCATTCCCCAAGCCCTACTCGCATTCCAATGTGTAATTTTTTTTTCAACCACCACTCCTAACAACGCTCCTAAATCCTAACACGTCCAGCCAAACTTTCCAGCGACGGTGGCAGCCAGCGTGTTTCCATTTATTCCGAGGCTGGAAATCGCCAGCGCAGTTTAAGGGCTTTGTTCGGCCAGCCGGGCCAGGTTGCGCCCTTCGTCGCTCCTTTGGAATGAGGGCGCACAAAGAAGCCCCTTTGTACCTCCGACGGCAGCCCTACCCACCTCCACGTGTTCCCGCTCCACCTCCACTGCCACCACTTCGTGGCTCCGATGCTCCTGGGTCAGGCAGAGCTGGCAGATGCAGCTGCGGTCGGTCCGGCAAAAGCTCTCCAAGGGCTTGAGGTGCAATTTACAGAGGCTCTCCTCGATGTGCCGCAAGGGCGGAACCAGCCGGTGGTTTTGGAAAGCCGGACTTTTCAGATGAGGCTGCAAGTGGGGGGCGCAGAAGGACGCCAAGCACACCAAGCACGATTTTGCCGCTTCAGCTCTCTCCCCGCCGGTGCAGAAGTCGCACAGCACCTCCTCGATGTGGGCATCGCCGTTCTCTGGAGCGCACGGCTCCGACGTTTCCTCGGGTGCCATAGCCAGGCCCGGACTGCTCGGCGCGGGCTGTCGGAGCTGCAACAATTCTGCCAGGGTGTGGTTCTTACGGAGCGGGAGGTCGGCTGGGAAGGGTTCCTGGCAGAGGGGGCAGCGGGAGGCACTTTGTCCTCCGGTTCCTGTAACGCCCCCGGGGTGATGCCTGTGCGCCCCGATGCACTCCAAGCAGAAATTGTGGCCGCAAGGAGTGGTGACCGGGTCCTTCAGAGCGTCTAGGCAAATGGGGCAACCGAAAGGACCTTCTTGAAAGTTGAGAGCGGAGCTAATGGGGCCAGAGCCCGCGTCCATGCTGCTGAAGTCAGCTGGTAGGAGGCGAAGAGCGCGACGCTGGGTTGGCCCCCTTTCCCAAGGCAGGGCAGGGCAGGGGGCTGGAAGCGCCAACTCCGCCCAGCAACAACTCAGCCCGGCACCGGGCAGCCGCGGCCGGCCCCCAAAAAGCGAGCGAGGGGCCGTCTCAGTGCGCGGCGTTTCTCTATAAGAGGCGCCCGCCTCGGTTAGAAGAAAAATAAAAGTGCTGCTTCTCCTCGGGGCGCGCGAAATGAACCCAAGTTAAGCTTTTCCCGCCTTCGTAGTCTATTAAAATGTGTGAGCAATTGTGAAAGAATCCCAGGGAATTTTTGTCAGAACATGGGAAGCTGACCGTTCCCGCCTCCCGACTGCCGTCGAGTTTTCCGAACAGGACACATTTGCGTCATATGACTCCTCACGAGTCCCGTCCAATTTAGCAGCAGATAGTTGGGTGCTGGCAGGTAGCGAGGGTATTAGGAGTAATAAATGACAGGTTCCTGCTCCCCCACCCAGTTTTGCTGCAGTTAAATGGACAGTGATTAATATTTGCGTGTGTGTGTGTATTTTTGTACCTATGTATATAGCGTGTATGGGTAGATATATACTTTCTTTGGAGAGCAGGCAACAATTTCATTTTTAAAGTTGCCCAGTGCACTCACAGTAAAAAAAATGACAAAGATTATCTTAAATTTCTGTTTTAACTTTTTTTTTTTATGAAACCTGACTATTTTGGACCATATTTATACAATTGCCATGTTCAGCCATACAATTGCTGTGCAGATTAGATGTTCTTAATGTCTTCAAAGCGTCCCAAGAATTGATTTTATTCCCTAGGAAAGATGCACAGGTGAAGAAAGCTTGAAAAGGCAGTTCCTGACCTCTGGCCAGCGTCACCTAGTGCTAGTTTCTCAAAACACAGCTGAAATATGTTATTCTTTCCATTCTCTGTTTTTAATCAATCTGTGACCACTATTATAAACTGGGGGGGGGGGAATAAATATTTGGAGCCTCACTTCCTCAGCAATTAAGCCTTTTACAAGCTGGTAACGTTGGACTGTGCATAATTGGATGGGTTTGTAATAGTGGATACCTATTGATATTTAAAACTAAGAAATTAGTACATGTCATCAAAGGATCAACATGGTGGTTGATGAAAGGTCCTTCAGAATCAAAAGTACCATTCTAATGAATGGAAAGATAGCTATTTGAGAGGTAGCCAGTAGCAGGAGGCAAGATATAAACCGTACACCCTAAAATGTATTAGGATTAAATCAGTGATGGGATAACCTTTTGGGTCAAAAATTCAGAAAATGCCCAACTTTACTCTGCTGGTGTCTCATTACCCCCCAACAAAAAAGAAATAATTTTTTACACATTTTTTAAACATGCAGACCAATTGTGTGTAATCCACAGGTATTGCCATGTGCTGCTTGCCCTCAGGCAATGTTCTTTCTGTTTAAGGCCCCTGCAGTTTATTTGTTACATGAGGCCTTCCTTCTTGAAGTGGAGAATGGTCTCCACAGCTTCCAAAATTGTGCAGGAATGGAATGTACTTTTGAGAATAGTTGTTGAATGTTGGGGAACCAAAAGGTCATGGCTTGTCACCCTTGACACATGTGTCATAGGTTTGCCATCTCTGGATTAGATGGACCCCTAAATTTTACTCTTCTTGGGATATTATGGCCTTGGAAGATTATGAGCATAGTCCAATTTATAGGCAGACAAGGAAAATATAATGCAAGAGTTTAGCAAAAAAATAACAGATTTTTCCTGGATCTTTTCCTCAACCACCTCTAGCCAGATCTGACTCATTTTCAACTTTGATCTTTTTCCAGCTGCTCTTCAGCACTCCCCCCACAACACAAAGCAAATATGGTCCTGTTCTGTTCAATTTTCTAAGAGATATCTTGCTAATGGGCAGTTCTGAGAATCTTTAGATAATATTATTCCAACTTTCCTTTTGAATGAACAGAATAAAAACGATAATAAACATGACAAGAATCTGTAATGCTAGTTTTAGACGTTATTAAACATCTAAAAATAAGCTTTATTTCCCTGCAAATTTTCATGAACTTAGGAAAACAAAACCTGTTCTAGATCTAGATTTCCTTATAAACTACTTTAAAAAAAAATAAAACATTAATGCTTTTAATGTTGAAGACTGGCTTCATTCTTTAGTAAAATGCTCTACCAAAGTCTCTTCTAATAGGAAAAAAAGGGTACAAAATAAATTTTAAAAATTGCTTTCTGGAATATGAATTCTTAAGAACATGTTAGTATCCAGTCACACATATGAGAAACTATATATATAGTACTTAACTGTTTTACAACATACCTTCACAATGAAGTGACTACAGAGAGCTTGTGAACAGTGATCTGTCCAGGGTAAACATTACTGTGCATTTCCTTTCTGTCCAACTTGATTCTTTTATTGGCTGTGGCAATTTCCCAATTAAAAATTACTGGTAATTATTTTTTTGTTTACACTACCTCTTTATTGATATTCATTCCTTAATTTTTGTAGTTTGCCACAAAGCTTTATGCAGCCACAAAAATATGTGCATCAGATTTTGTGCTGTATAAACATCTAACTGCATCTTTACCTGGAAGGGCAAGGTGGATTTACAATTCACAAGAGAGCTATAAAAGACAGAAAGAATTGTCTATACAGCCAAGTAGCCATTTTTTTTTTCAACGTTCAAGATTTATTTGCTTGCTCAGAGTTTTTCCATAGGGGCAGTCTTTGCCTACACCTGTAAATCAGGTGATCTCTCATCAATTATAATCTGGCTGGGTGGCCTTTGGCAAAGTGTCACAGCTGTACCTTCGCAAAGCCAGAAAATGGGGACCAGAGGCTCCGTAAAGGTGGTGTGAAAAACATGGAGGCATTTCATATTGTTTTCTATGCTGTAAAAGGATATCGTTCCTTGATCACAATCCAATAGAACTCCAATGAATTTGCAAAGAGGTTCTTTTATCTTTGTAGACTTGTCATTGTACCAAGCCATGTAGCTGTCTTCTTGGATATGCAGGCCCCAGGAGAGTTTATCCAACCCAATGGTGAACTTCTGATGAGCCTGTTTCAATCTGGTGAATGTTTTGCATGCTACGCCAACAATGACGGAGTGGTCGGATAACTCTACTTCCCAGTAGCAAGTGCCTTGGCTGAAGTTCTGAGTACACATGACTTGCCATGGCTCAAATCTTTGAGGGTCATTTGGCTTTGGTTTTTGAAAAACTTGGGGATGAGTTGCTTTCTGATTATTATCAGTTATCTGCAGGTATTTGTTGGCTGTGATTGGATCAAATGTCAAATTCTGCTGATCTGTGGGAGTGACAATGATAATATATTAGGAAAAAGCAAAAGAATCTAAGGTTTACCAATTTACCTCCTTCCTGGAATATTTTCTATTCTACATATTCATTAAAGCAAGATGATGTTACTAAAGTATTAGTGTAATTTAAAAAGTTAGGAGTGGTGTTATTGAACAGATCCTTCTTTATTTTCCAAACTTTAGATTTAATGTAATTTTGATATAATGTAATTTTGCTTCTTGTTTGTTAGTGTCACAAGTCAGCATTATTTTAGATGTGGAGTCTTTAACGTGGATTCTGACATTATGTATTCATGTCATATACATAATGAAAAATTAACTTTTTAGGGTTGGAAAATACTAAACCATAGTAGTGAAATAAGTAGGAAAATAAAAACAACAACAACAACAATAGTTTGATGCCTTCAAGTCAGTCTTGATTCCTGGATGAGTCCCTGCTGTTTCCTTGGCAACATTTTCAGAAGTAGTTTGGCCCTGCTATTTCCCTAGGGATAAGAGAAAGTGACTGGCCCAAAGTCACTCAGCTGACTTTGTGCCTAAGGCAGGAGTAGAACTTAAAAGAGTCTCTGGTTTCTATCCTGGCTCCCATGATATAGTTGATGAAAACTGAAAACTAGCTTCAGGGCCAAGGATTACTACTAGCTAAAGAGCTCACAATAGCCATGATAAAGAGTGCCTGTTCTTACTGGCAATTCAGGAATCCTTTGCTTAGCATTCTGCCTAAATATGTTTAATGAGATAATTATTTCCCCTAGAGATACAAACCAGAAGCCAAACACAGGAAGTAGATAGACGTATACCCAAGTATACCCAAGTATATTCACATCACAGATGATCTTGTATTTGTTGTTGTTAGTTACTGAAAACAAACAGCTCTATGAGAAACAGCTATGGTTTTCCACTTTGATTAGTTTTCATCTTTGCCAAAGAAGAGGAACGACTGCATCTATATTTATGGAAAATTAGATGCAACTTCTAAATTAAAGAGATCCAATTAACTGGTTCCTCATGTGTTAATTTGCATACAAAGTCTCTTTAAAGCAGAAGCCTTAAAAATTAAAAAAAAAGAATAAGAGAAAATAACTGATGTCACAATTGTCTCTATCAACCATGAGATAGACTGAGGGGCGTGTAAATGGAGCCTTACCAACCAGATGCACTAGAAACAATCAAGAGTGATGAGTTTGTGCAATCAACAGTCATAAATTAACTTTGGCTGGATGTTCCACAGACAACATCATTGTAGGGCAAGCTATTTACTGGGTTATGTAATGTACACACACCTCTGCAGTCATGACAGTACACCTACATTTTATTTTTACTTATGAGACAGACACTTTATTTTTTTTTTAAATGGGAATAAATTATATAAACTGTAAAGAAATCTGAAAAGCATGATGCAGCATTGCCACTTCAATGCCACTGTACTCCTACCTGCACATCAAGATCTTCTCATTCAGTTACAAAGGATAGAAAGTGATTTATTTTCATCTTTGCAATAAACGTCAAACTCAGAAACAGCTATATTGAATCAAGTTCCTCCCTGATTTCTTTCTTAGAGCAGTCTTTTGCTACCTCCAGGGCCAGCTGCACTCCACGGATAGCAGAAGCATAGTCATCCAACTTCACACTGAATTTGAGGGCAGGGGTGAAATGCTACCGGATCACCCGATCCGGTAGCGATGGCAGCGGGTGGTTCGGAGAACCGGTAGCAAAAATCCCTGCGCCCCCCACATGCCCAGCTCAGCTGCGTGATCATCCGAGGCTTTAAAAAAAAAAAATTAAAGCATTTTTTCTACAACCTCTTCAGCCGAAAAAATGCTTTTAAAAGTAAAAAAAAAAAAGCCTCTGATGATGGCACGGCTCAGCTGGATCATCAGAGCATTTAAAAGCATTTTTTTTACAGCCTCCTCAGCCAAAGAGGTAGAAAAAATGCTTTTAAAAGTTTTTTAAAAAAAGTTGGCCATGCCCACTCAGTCATATTACCCACCCCCCCAGAACCGGTAGTAACAAATTTTACATTTCACCACTGCTTGAAGGGCTGAACTGTTAAGTTCAAAATAATCATTTCTGTTTTTCTCCTTGTTAACCCAGAGGGTAGGGAATTATTATTCATAATTGCAATCTCTTCTGCCACAGAGGGTCATAGATAGTGTAAATAGCCCAAATGGAGGACAAGACTAGGGCCGTCCACTGAATGTTCCTCCCCCTGTAACAGCAGCCTAAGTATTATTTCTGGCGTAGGATTTTCCTTAGTAGGCCCAAATGTACCAGTCTTAATTTGAGACAGCATGTTTTGTCCTCTATGTTGCCAGGGATGTGTGCTCAGCTAGTAGTGCACAATGGTCTGTCCTATACCAACAAACTTGTTAGAGGAAAGTGAGGGAATGGATTTGTTCTTGTTTGGGGCAATGGCCAAGGTCTACCAAGGCTTAGCATTGGACACTTGGTAATAAATATTTTTCTCACTAACCAACGTCCTAAATGAGGTGTTCTACAGAACAAGGAACATGATGGCAAGCTGTCACTCACACATGAACATTGACCTTCTGAAATAACCCATCTTCCATAAGACAAGCCTTCGTTATATTTCTCTGAGTGCCACATGAGGGAGGTGAAGGGTTAGCCCCTTGCCTTGTTCTCCAGGACACTGGCAAAATGCAATCAACAATGAGGAGAGCTATTCCAGAGATGCCAATTCCACCAAGTCACACTCTGAGCTAGTCAGTTGTTCAATGAAGCAAGTTCACCTGTCTTGTTTCTGATCAGCTACTGAATGGGACAACACCAGAAGAGAATCTGCATGTCTCTTTCTGTCTCTGGATAACATCACCGAGACTCACATTGGTGGAATTTCCATGTGAGTTTATTTAGTTCCTACATCTCTCCTATGTCTATGGAGGTTCTCAGTCATCCAAATGATTGCCTCATAAGTTGCTTTTCAAAAGGCAACTGGATTTTCTTACTTTTTTCCCCCTTGAAAATGTTTTGCTTCTCATCCAAGAAGCTTCTTCAATTCTGACTGAATGGGGGGGGGATTAAAAGGATTTAAATCTTTTTATATCCTACCATTCTGTCAGAACTGAAGAAGCTTCTTGGATGAGAAGCAAAACATTTTCAAAGGAAAACAAAAACAAAAACAAAGTCTAGTTGCTTTTTGAAAAGCAACTTTGGGACATCTCTCCCATAGTTCCTTCTCTTCCCTTAAACCCATTGCCATAGCCAACAAACCTTCATGTGTGTGGCCAGTGCATTTATTTCTATAAAATTTGTTAAGATAAATACATTTTTAAAATGGTTGTGCACGGTTGGTGCATTCTGTGGTGCATTTTGTTACAAAGGTGTGTTTGAACTTGCTTGTTTCAACCCGTTTGCTAGAGATCATCTGTAGCTCTTTAAGTTTAAAATGAAGAGTTATTTTGTTGATCAAGGAGTGTGCATGACTCATAGGCAATTTTTTGTTCTGTGCACTACTGGATACAGTATTATATGTGTAACCCTAACCCTGATGTACAATCAATATGCATTTCTGATTTGAATACGGACAGTAAGGCAGGGGGCAATTTTTTGCATTTCCTAAGGTGGTGTCTGTCTTTTAGGCAGTGTGGACTGTGAACCTATTTCTGTTCTGCAGCATCTCGGCCTTGCAGCTGCCATGGTCTGCCCTGCGCAAGCCACGGGCATTGCATCGGGGTGCTGGAGGCGAGTGGAGCCACGGAGGAGTTTTGCAGAGAAGATAGAATAGCATGGCGACAGCTGTCCACGCCCTGTTTCTTGCCAGACAGACAGGAGAAAGTGGGGGAGGAGGGAGGGAGGGGGCAGCTGGGTCTTCCTGGCCTTTGCTGAGCACTATGCCCCCCCTCCTGCTCCTCCCAATTGCTTCCGAAAGACATGAGAGGCATTTCGGGCAAAGGTAGCAGCCGCTGTGTCTTCCCCAAGGGCGTGGGGGTTAGGGTTAGCTGGACACTGACCTTGTAAGGCAAGTGTGACCACTGGGAAGGCAGCGTGGAAGACAGGCAAGAATGGCAGGGCTGCGGGGAAGAGAGTAAGCTGCTAGCTCCCTTCCCCGCAGCCCTGCCATGCTTGCCTGCCTTTCACATGGCCTTCCACTTTCCTGCCTTCGCAAGCTGGCCACGGGGACGGCGGGAAGGCCGCATGGAAGGCAGGAAAGCATGGCAGGACTGTGAGCCGCGGACGCTACCGGTTCAGCAAACCAGCCCCAATCTCCACTACCAGTTCACCTGAACTGGTTTGAACTGGTAGCATTTAACCCCTGCTTTGGACTACCTAATTGGGAATTGTACTACCAGGCAGCGGCATTAACATGGATGAAAGAATGGATTGCATTGAGACATACAAGACTATTGACTCTGGAGGGACATGACCTACAACTGGGTTGGCACACCTTTTCATGGTATGGGAAAAGCGAAATACACAGTTATTTTCAAAGACATTATATAAGGAATGTGTTATTGCTAGTATGGGAGAAAATTAGAGAACAACATTATTTGAAGATACCAGTTTGGCTTTCAACAATGGAAGCATTGATTCATCCAAATGTTATTAATGTGGGAAATATTGTTAGATATAAAGATATTTTGAATGAAAAGGGGGAACTCAAAACTAAATAAAAATTCAGTGATCAAGGGATAAACATGGCATGGTATTCACAGGTGCAGATACATTCTAGATATGAGAAAGATGCTAAATTACAGTATATGATTTTTATAAAGAAGCAACAGAATTAGATAAAATATTAACAGAGACAGAAGAAAGACTGATAAAAAAGCTATATAACTACTTATTGGCTATTAAATTGGAAGATGAACAAGTGAAGGAGACAATGATAGCATGGGCAAAAAACTTTGGTTATATAATAGAATTAGATGAATGGCGGAAGTTGTGGGATAGAAATTATAAATTAACAATGTCAACTCCATACAAAGAAAATTTGTGTAACATTTCTGAAACATCACTTATCAAGCCTAGGGAATTTATCCCAAAAATTCATTTCTATCATATTCTTCACTCTGCAGGCCAAATATTGGGAAGTCCCACTGAATGCATCAGAACTTACGTACAAGTAGTGCTTGACTTATGCTTGCTTGACAACCATTAGAAATTATGATAGAGTAAAACAAAAACAGTACTATAACCTGGATTCAAAGTCCTGGTGGATGTCTCCACCCACCCATGGTCACACGATCGCACTGTGGACACTCAACAATTAGCATACATTTATGGCTGTTGCAGCATTCTGCAGTCACCTGACTACTATGTATAATGTTTACTTATACTTATAATGAGCCGAGGTGGCGTAGTGGTTAGAGTGCAGTACTGCAGCTACTTCAGCTGACTGCTAGTTCAGCAGATCAGCGGATCAAATCTCAACGGCTCAAGGTTGACTCAGCCTTCCATCCTTCCGATGTGAGTAAAATGAGGACCCAGATTGTTAGGCGGCAATATGCTATTTAGTATACTGTCTTTGGTGTAAGCCGCCCAGAGTCCTCAGAGAGTGGGCGGCATAGAAATATGACTAATAAATAAAATAAAATAAAATAAAATAAAATAAAATAAAATAAAATACTTCCAGTCTCCAGCAACAAATGCCCATTACGGACAATGAGTTTACTTAATGACTGCCACATGAACTGCTTAATGACCGACACAATTTACAATCATAATTCTGGGCTCAATTAAGTCGAGGATTGTATGTATAGGATCCAGATATCAAAGAAATGAGTGATTTTTCATTTTTCCAATTTACAGAAAAATATCCAACCCTCACACAGTATCCATAAGCAGGGAAATGTTGTGGACAGATGGAAGAGAGAAACTCAGATATACCGTATACTGGTATTTACTTGTACCAGAGCTGTTTATTACAGTTCGACACCCAGGTCTAGCAATTTTATTTATTTATTTAGTTATTTATTCCCCCCCCCCCTTATTATTTGTACAAATAACTCAAGGCAGCAAACATATCCAACACACCCTCATCCTCCTATTTTCCCCACAACAACCCTGCGAGAGAGTGACTGGCCCAAGGTCACCCAGCTGACTTTCATAGCTAAGAGCTGGCTAGATTACAAACACTTCCATTCAGAAGAAGGGAGCAGGAAGAGCTGCAAAAGTGTTCTCTATGGTACTTGTCCCATCCCTCTTAAGCACGTTTGAACTCTTACCTGGAATTACTATTAAGGCAACTGACCCAGATAATGCTTAGGCAAAAGAGAATTTACAGGGAAATCTGGGAATTTATTTCACGCTCATACAAAAAGATATATAAGCACAGAGAATATATTTAAAGTGTAAAGCCAAGGAAAAACAGAATGGGGAACATAAAAACTTCTGAGGGTTAGTAATGGGCACTTGACCTGCTGTTGTGAAAACATGTTTTTCCTCTTCTGGGTTACTGTTTGTCATCTTTTCCTATTTTGTGTGGTCTCCTTATCACTGAGACAAGCAGCTTTTTTTATTGGGGAAGCAAGTTTTCAGCTGGAAAACTCAGATCTTTTTCTGAGGTCTTTTTTTCAGAATTACCAAATGCAAGGCCCTATTTGCATAAGTAACTTTTTGCATGAACAGGGAGCAGCAAATTCGGCCAATGCTGTCACCATGCTACAACTTGGAGTAAATAAGGAGTTTGTTTTTCTTCTTTTAATGGAGAAGGAGCAGTATTTTGTATAACTTTGTATTGCTGTTCCACTCTTAGTCTTTGGGAAACTGTATAAATTCCTTTTAGGATTGCAACTAAAATTGCTGGAAGAGAGAGTGTATTCGCTGACGAAACAGAATCAGTGGGAGACATCTTTGTGTATCTTTATATCTTTGTAAACCGCCTTGTGCGAGTAGGTGGCCATATAAATTTTCTAAATAAAAATAAAATAAAATATTAAAGAATGAGACCCCACATCAGCCCAGTTTCTTACCCTTTAGAAGCTTTGTCCTTAGTTCATTCTCTGAAAGACAAGGTTCAGACATCCTCTTCACAAATACCTTTGGCTCAAGTTTGACTGCACAATACAACAGAGAAGAAAAATTCAACAGCAGGAAGAAGGCAAACTTCTTTCAAAAATTTCCAAATGGTAATAGAATATAGCTATTAAAAATAATAGAAGAGAGAGTTTGATCATGTAGTTAAGGCACCAGACTAGACATCAGGAGACCGTGAGTTCAAGTGCCACATTAGACATGAAAGCTAGCTGGATGATTTGGGGTCAGTCACTCTCTTCTCAGCCCAGAATATCATGTTCAGGCAACAAGTTGGTTGGTCAATTTTTGTTGCAACCATTGGAACACTTGGTTGATCCGGGCGGGGACGGGTGGGGGACGGCACGGGGGGGAAGTCCCTGCACTTGTGGGGAAAATGGAAGGAAGAATTTTTTTTAAAGTTTCTAATGATTAAATAGCACTTGTAAAAGCCATTCAATGCACATACGTGTTTATAGCTTTGAACAGGAACAAACTTGAAATAAATCAACAAAATCGGCAAAGACATTTGGGAAAATCCCATCTTTGATTATATTAATCCCTCAGGAAAAAGAACAGAAATGTGATCTGTTTCGTACGGTAAATGAAAAAGTGGCAAGAAATGTATGAATCTGAAAGTTACTAAAGATTTTTTTAAAGTGGCAAATCTTGATGAGTTGCTATCTCTGAATTACATCTTCTTTGTGAAAACACATTTCAAAAATTGCTTAGGTGATCTGGACTTTGCAGACTATTATGGGGAGTGGGCATCCATTTGAATACTCTTACTATATAAATCAAGTTTCGATAGACTAATTGAAACAGTTTTCCTATTACGGTATTCTTACAGTATTATCCTCTATCACAAAAATTTACATTCAAAATTATTTTTTTCACAGCTGTGGTAGGCAGTTAACAGTAGTGCGTGTATGTAGCTTAGCTCTCCTGATGCTTCCTTTGCAGCCTCCTGAACAGAGCTAAATGAGCAGAGCTAAAATTCGTATTCTTTTCTTGTGGGGTGAGGATCAGTGATGGGTTGCCCCCGGTTCGGACCAGTTCGCAAGAACTGATAGTAAAACCGGCGGGAGGCTCTGCCCACCGACCCAGACGTCATCAGGAAGCTTCTGCGCATGTGCAGAAGTGCATGCACGTGGCCCCGTTGCAAACCGGTAGTAAAGGTAAGTAGGACCCACCTCTGGTGGGGATATAAAAGGTTTAGGGCTGAAGGTACTCATTTCTCTCCTTTACCTATCCAAACATTTCAAAATGTCCAATGTTTTCTTTTTTCAGTGAGATTTAAGGGGAAAAATGCTTAAGTCACTGTAAGGCACAGATTCCACTCCTTACATTCACTCAGCCTCTTTACAAAGGAAACAAGAGCCAAAGGAGTTGGCTCTGGCCATGACACAAAGGCCATTACAAAAAGTGTGCCTCCCACCATCAACAAAGCTGCCAACCCCTATTTTATTGTAATATACTTTCATGCACCTGCCAGACATTGGAGGAAAGCCATCTGAGTCTCAGGTATCACAAAAGAAGGAGAAATCTGGTAGCTCCTTTTCCAACTAACAGATTTTATTCAAAGGCATGAACTTTTCTGAGCTGCAACTCACTTCGTTGGATGTGGCTAGATTGAGATTTTAAAAAATGTGCTATCAGATTCTTATATATCTGTCAGAAATTGACCTGTCAACTGTGACCCAATTTTCTCATTGCCATAAAACAGCTTGATAATTACTTTTTCTATCACCCATTTGTGGATTCAAAAGATTTGACTGAAGTGTCTCCAAAAGCCTGAAGAATTCAGTGAAGAACTTGGTGACGGTATTTGCATTCTTATCCAAGTCAAGTTGAATGACTGGAGGAACTTCCAGTTTAGTAGGTGGAGAAAGGAGATGTTGCTCCTGCAAAAAATAGAAAATAATTATTCCACTATAATAGAGCAAAGATGGATAAACTACCATGTTTCCCCATAAATAAGACCCTCTTATATTTTTTTGAACTTTTTTTGAAATAACGCTTGGCCTTATTTTCAAGGAGGTCTTATTATTTTGGGGCATGTGGAGCAAGACGGGGCTCCTCTTGCCATTTTACCTGATTTCCAGCTCTGTCTCCGTAACCCTAACCAGAGGAAATGGCGGGAACCAGCTGCACATGCATTTAAATATTTTTGGGGACATCTTATTTTCAAGGAGGGCTTATTTTCAGGGGGGCTTATTTTAGTGCATGCGCTCAAAAGCTTGATTGTTATCCGGGGAGGTCTTATTTTCGGGGAAACAGGGTAAAATATAGCAAGAGCACAGTGAAGAAGATGCATCAAAGCTACATCATGAAGGCTTACTGAATACCAATGAAACCAAACTGGTTTACAAGAAAGGCCAAAGGAAGAATAGAAGACAGATATGGCAAGGCAAAGTATTACACAGACAGTACATAAAAAAAAAAACCTAGCAGTCAAAGCAGAGAAAACAAGACCTGGTATTGGCTAGAGGCTGGAAATTTGAAAAAAAAAATAGAGAGTCTAATGCTACACAAGATCAAGCTTTAAGAACAGGGAGGGAGAGAGGGAGGGAGGAAGATATACTAAGAAATGCCCTGAGACCAGAGAAAACATTAGGAAATCATCTCACCGATTCATAGAAAAAAGTGAGATGGATAGCATCACCACCAGATGGATTCGTAACTGAATGACAAACCATACCCAAAGAGTAGTCCTTAATGCGTTTATGTCTACATGGAGGGAAGTAAGCAGTAGGGTACCACAAGGTTCCGTCTTAGGCCTAGTACTCTTCAATATCTTTATGAACGACTTAGATGAGGGAATAGAAGGGAAACTTACCAAATTTGCAGATGATACTAAACTGGCAGGAATAGTTAACACCCTAGAAGATAGACTCAAGATCCAGATGGATCTTGACAGAGTTGAACACTGGGCCCTATCTAACAAAATGAAATTCAATGTAGAGAAATGTAAAGCCTTACACTTAGACAAGAAAAACAAAAAGTACACATACACATTGGGTGAAACCAGGCTTAATAGCAGTAATTGTGAGAGGGATCTTAGAGTCTTAGTGGGCGACCAGCTAAATATGAGCCAGCAGTGTGCAGCGGCAGCCAAAAAAGCCAATGCAATTGTAAGCTGCATTAACAGAGGGATACAATCAAGATCAAGTGAGGTACTAATACCACTCTATAAAGCCTTAGTAAGACCACACCTAGAGTACTGCATCCAGTTTTGGTCACCACACTATAAAAAAGATGTTGAGACTCTAGAAAGAGTGCAGAGAAGAGCAACCAGGATGATTAAGGAACTGGAGACTAAAACATATGAAGAACGGTTACAGGAACTGGGCATGGTTAGTCTAGTGAAGAGGGAGGAGACATGATAGCAGTGTTCCAAAATTTGAGGGGCTGCCATAGAGAGGAGGGGGTCAACCTGTTTTCCAAAGCACCTGAAGGCCAGACAAGGAATAATGGATGAAAACTGACCAAGGAGAGATTCAACCTAGAAATAAGGAGACATTTTCTGACAGTGAGAACAATCAACCAATGGAACAGCTTGCCTTTGGAAGTTGTGGGAGCTTCATCACTGGAGGCTTTCAGGAAGAGATTGGACCGGCATTTTCTGGAAATGTGTAAGGTCTTCTGCTTGGGCAGGAGGTTGGACTAGATGACCTAAAAGGTCCCTTCCAACTCGGTTAATCTATTTGTGCTAGTGCTTATAACATGCTCTCAGCATTCCAAATGCATGTATAGAATTAAAAAAAAAAAAAAAAACTGGAGGCCTCTGAAGTTTCTGGCTTTTGATACCGTGATCCCAATTGTACATTTTGGCAAAGAAATAGTATTAAGCGAACAATGACAGCAACATTCTCCCAATGCACAGAGCCCACATATTTTTTACCCACTTCAAGAAACACAATATCATCCTCCGAGCCCATCAGCCCTTCCGCTGTCCTGTTGTATTGCGTGACAGTCTCCAAATGATGCTGTAGGCAGTTCCGGTTCTCCTGCATTTGTTTTAGCAAAGCAGCATGCTCACTTGTAACCATCTCCGACACCTTCTTCTGGCATTCTTTTAGGATTTCTGTGAGATGATCAAACTTTTGCAAAATTCCTGATTTGAACTTCATTGAGAAAACCTGTAGAAAGCCAACATTCAAAGCATCAAGTTATCCTTATAGCAGCTAATGTCTCTCTCCATTTTTCTTAAGGCACCATATGGCGATAAGATAAAATATGGAGGGAAGGGGTACTGGCTTTTGGAAATGACAACCACTTTGCTTATTCAGCAGCTACCACAAGAGCGATTAAAATGTGCACTGGCAAAGCACAAAACTATTTCTACATGACTCACTGAAACATGGTTCATCTGCTGCTCCAGTTTCTGGATTTCTGCTGTGATTCTTTTTGCCTCTTTTTGCTTTTCTTCCAGGGTTTTCTTGATTGAGTCCTGTCAAAGCAGACTTGAAGTTCAAATGGGCAATTGTTTCATAGTTTTCCTTGATACTTCCAGTCCTATAGAGAATACTTCATTTGGCAAATTCACGTTGGTCTATTCACATTGATCAAGAAACATCTAAAGAAACATACCAAAGTACTGCTACCCAAGTAATCTTTTGCAGCTCTAGTAACATCACCTTGCCTCCATGGTGTTGTATTGAAACAAGATGACTAAGATCCTGGAATTGCTATCCACTTCAGAAAGAGCGATGGGCTCAGGAAAAATTTAAGGGTATATGGGCCAATTGGGTTCAGTCACATTCATTCTGAACCTTGGTAACAGTTTGGATTTAGCAAAACCTTCAGATCTAGACTTGTGTTCAAGTCAGGATCATATCTCTTGTGAGATAGCGTGAAAGCAAAACCATTACCCATTTCAAATTGTGCATGGTTTGTGGACCAGACAACAGGCATTCTCCGTGATAGCTCCTGCCTTGTAGGATCCTCTTCCTCAGAGACCCAATAGCCCTTTTATTCAGTCTCAGAAAACAACTACTGTAAAGCTGTATAGTACTATTCCAATATGCCTGAGTTGATTATGGGCAATGATCACAGATCTGGCTGTTGTATTATTATTTTCTTATTCCTTATATTTTATTTTTAATCCTGTTTTGCAGTTAGCTCACAGAGTGTTTTGGGGCTAGAGTAAATCATCAATACTTTGAAGTGAATACATAAATAAATATAATTTCATGAGATGTTGGACCTTTGCTAAGATACCTTAAGGCACATCAGAAAACTATTAACTGTTAAGCTTATTAATTACATTACGTTGGAATATAATTGCCTGCTTGCATTTGAGACAAATGTGGCATTTAGCAGGGACATTGTTCTCTTTACTATGAGGTCCCAATATGGGACCTCAGTGTTATTGAGCGGAAAAGAATGGAATCCGATACCTAAGAAGACCAACATGTATTCTTACCACAGCAGGATCTATGAACACATCCCAGTCTATAGGTCTTAATTGGAGGTGCAATAGTTGACTATAGTAGTTGAAAATCAGAGCCATGCCAACATGCTCTGGTTCATACGGGTATATGCACATTATACAGATAGTCCTTGATTTATGTCATGTGAGTACATTGCTTAGCAACAGCAATCCTGGCAATCCCTGTTGCCATCATCAACCAAATTCCATTGGTTGTTAACCAAGGACCCACCCCAATCCAAGCCATTCAGGGTTTGGTCTTTCCCAGCCCTGATCCTGGGTTCTTACAAGATAAGGGACCGCCTCCCCTTCAACTACCCCGATCTTCCTATCCCCACACATTTCTGCCCTTGTGGTTGTCCTGGACCCTGCCTTGCAAGGCAGCAAGCAACCCTAGAGCCATGCGTGCTGCAGCGCTGTGGCTTCCTGCAGCTCTTGAGCCACTGTGCAGTGGGAATCTCAGCCCCAGTCCAATGCCTGAGCCCCAGAGCAGCACAAATCCTTTTTCAGCATGAAGCCCAGCTCAAGCTGAGCCACAGTAGCCCATGCCACAGTGCATTCTGCTGTTCCATTGACCTTCCCATCATCTTGCTCCTGATGCTGACAGGAATCACACTGGCCATTTGCTATTGCCATCTGGAGCCATCTTCCCCAGTTCTTGGGAGGAAACCACAGTGTGCAACCTGGGGAAGAAAATCTTGTGCGGCCAGCAGCTGAATTGCAAAAGGGCCAGGCTGGGCACACTTGCTCAGCAGTGCGACCAAGAAGATGGTGAATGTCAGCTAAGACAGCATGGGCCATGGTGTACAGGGGGCCAAAAAGGGGTGGGGGGGGAGAGATAGGCAGGGGAAAGTTGAAGTTCCCCTGTGATTGTAAAGGTGGGCAGGCTACCAAGCAGGGGTGAAATCCAGCAGGTTCTGACAGGTTCTGGAGAACCGGTAGCAGAAATTTTGAGCAGTTCGGAAAACTGGCAAAAACCACCTCTGGCTGTTCCCAGAGTGGGGTGGGAATGGAGATTTTGCAATATCTTTCCTCCAGGCATGGGAAGGGAATGGAGATTTTGCAGTATCCTTCCCCCTGCCATGCCCACCAAGCCACGCACCAAGCCACGCCCACGGAACCAGTAGTAAAATAATTTGGATTTCACCACTGCTGCCAAGCACCCAATTTTTGATCAGGCGACTTTGGGGGCAGTGTACTTTAGCCACCAGTCATTAAGTCCTTTCGTTCTGAATGCTGTATGGTTGCTGAACAAATGGTTGTAATTTGAGGACTACCTGTTCAGAGAAAACCACAGCCTAGTCCCATTTAGCACTAGACAGTCTCAGCCTCTGTTAAGTTTGGGCTGTATATGCTATAGGTCAGAGGTCTCCCACCTTGGCAACTTTAAGCCTGGAGGACTTCAACTCCTTGCGCACGGTCACTCATGCCCTAGTTACCTCCCGTATGGACTACTGTAATGCTCTCTACATGGGGCTCCCCTTGAAAAGCACCCGGAGGCTCCAACTGGTCCAGAACGTAGCCCCGCGGGTGATTATGGGCGCAGCTCGTTACGCCCATGTAACACCTCTCCTACGCGAGCTGCACTGGCTCCCGGTGGTCTTCCGGGTGCGATTCAAGGTGTTAGTTATCACCTTTAAAGCGCTCCATGGCTTAGGACCTGGGTACCTACGAGACCGTCTTTTGCCACCAATAGCCTCCCACCGACCAGTTCGTTCTCACAGGGAGGGACTACTCAGGGTACCATCAGTCAAATTATGTCGACTCCCAGGGGGAGGGCCTTCTCTGTGAGGGCTCCAATCCTTTGGAATGAACTGCCCCCGGAGATACGGAATATCCCTGATCTCCGTGCTTTCCGCCGTGCCCTCAAGACCCTGATGTTGCAACAGGCGGGGCTAAACATATGAACATGTGAATGATTTTTAAATGTTATCTAATTCTGGGTTTTTATTTAATTGACCAAACTAAGTAATAATTTTAATTAGCAATTTTATGATGTTTGTGTGTCTATATTTTTCTTGACTGTACACCGCCTTGAGTCCTATGGGAGAAAGGCAGTATAGAAATATAATAAATAAATAAATAAATAAATAAATAAATAAATAAATAAATAAATAAATAAATAAACTCTCGGAATTCTGGGAATTGAAGTCCACCAGGCTTAAAGTTGCCAAGGTTGGAGACCCCTGCTATAGGTGAATTCTGTTAGCCCACCAGCCACTCTCCTTGACTCTACCACCCGGCTTACTTCTTGAGCTTTCCGTCCCTCTTCAAAGAGAGCCCTCTGGTGCTTTTGGCAGCTTCTCACGGTGCACACGCAGCAGATGCAGCGTTTCTCAGTTACGCAGTAAAGCTCCAAGGGCCGGCCATGATTTGCGCATTGCCTTGCCTGAGAACCAGCTGCCTTCCTAATCTCCCCTTCTGAGCCACCTGGGAGGACTTCTTCCTGTTTCAGCAGCTCTACCAGGTTTTCAAGCAGGACAGTTTTGCTAAGTTTGGGTCTCTCTGGAAAGCATTGTCGGCATTCAGGACAAGTGTAGATCTTTTGGCCATTGAGTCCTTGTTCCTCTTTGTCCCAGTGGCTGTTGATGCACTTCTCACAAAAACTGTGTCCACAAGGCACAGTCACAGGGGTGGTAAATATATCCAGACAAATGCAGCATATTAATTTCTCTTCCAGCTTCTGAGATTCAGAGGAAGCCATTTCCCCAGAGGAAGCACAGTAGAGAAAGAGAAAATAACACGCCCCAAACCCAGCATCCTGTCCAAGGGGAGGTCCTGAATGTAAGAGTGAATCTTAAAGGGACAGAAGCTATTCTGTAGTTTACACAATTCAGTACAGTGTTTAAGGCAGGGGTGAAATCCAGCAGGTTCTGACAGGTTCTGGTGAACTGTTAGCAGAAATTTTGAGCAGTTCGGAGAACCAGCAAATACCACCTCTGGCTGGCCCCAGAGTGGGGTGGGAATGGAGATTTTGCAGTATCCTTCCCCTGCCACACCCACCAAGCCACACCATGCCCACCAAGCCATGCCCACAGAACCAGTAGTAAAAAAAAATGGATTTCACCACTGGTTTAAGGTCATCTCAGATGCCCTAATATTAAACGCATTGTCCTTTTTGTAAGTGAAAAAAAACCCCAAGCTTTGAGTTTGAATTTTCTCTCTTTATTTCAAACAATCTTTAGACCAGTGCTATCTATTTCGATGTTTAATTAGTTAACTTGAGCTTTATTATTTTCTCTGAAGGTGCACCATTCTGAGGTCACCCACAGCTCCTAAAGTATTGGCTGAGCTCATGAGGCTTCTAAAAGTTGATAACAAATTGTAATATTTAATGGTCATAAGAGGAAATGCATGGCTGGAGCATATTATTAACTATATTTATTTTAACCAAGCGTAAATGAAACACCAACTCTAGTTATCACCCAGGCCTTCTTATTCCTTTTTATAGTATAAGTCAGGGGTCTCCAACCTTGGCAATTTTACGACTTGTGGACTTCAACTCCCAGAATTTCTCAGCCAGCATATGCTGGCTGAGGAATTCTGGGAGTTGAAGTCCACAAGTCGTAAAGTTGCCAAGGTTGGCGATTCCTGGTATAAGTAACCCTTGATCTGGAAAAAGAACCCCCTATGCTTTCAAGTTAGAACCAGAGATGGCTTAGGATCAGCATCTTTCAAGGTCTTTTCAAAATCAAATTGGTGCAAAATGTGTACTCATCTGGGGGTGGGGGGGAGGAAAAACTCCAGCCTCCTTGTAATTAAACCTCAGGAGGCACTGAGTGTTGGCAGACTCGGTGCCTTCCGAACATAAAGGCCACTCTGATAAAGCAAAACATGTAGAGGAGGTGGAACATGTAGATGCCCATGTTCTGCAGGTGTCTGCTAGATTATCTCCTTCAGGTTGGCACACACATAAACCTCCTCTTTTTACATTGCTTGCCGTCCAGAGAAGAGAGCTGGTGCTTCAAGCTGCAGTCAGGAGGGGCAAAAGGGGAACCAGAGCCTGGCCAAGGAAGGTGCTGCTAGAGAGAAAACAGAGAAAGCACTGGAGTGGAGTTTGGCATTACATTTTGAACTGAGTTCTTTGTCTGGCTGGCTAAATCTCCAAAGAGTCAGATTTTGTTTGCCAATCCTGTTCCAGAATGCTGAACGGGAGAATAAACTTTAGAAACATTTCTACGTCTCTGGAGTTCAACATTTGCTTTCAGTTACATGCTAGTCCCGTGACGGCGAACCTATGGCACGCATGCCGGAAGTGGCATGCAAAGCAATCTCTCCGGGCATGTGAGCCGTCTCCCATTGCGCTTCTGGGTTCTGGCGCACCGGCCAGCTGGTCTTCACACATGCAGTAGTAATTGGAACCGGAAGAGCAGCTGCCCAGTGTGCATGCCCATGCCGAGAAGACAATCTTCCAGTTTCCAGGGTGCATATGCGCAATGGCCACCTGGCCTTCTGGTTTCTGGTGCACATGCACATGGGAAGACCAGTTGGCCGGTGCGCATGTGCATGGCGGATATTGGGAGATCATCTTTCCGGGGCACGCATGCGCATCAGGCAGCTGTCTTCCGGGTTCTGGCACGCATGCACGCTCTCCCATTTCAGCACTCGGTGCCAAAAATGTTTGCCAACACTCTGCTAGTCAATTCCCCATGGCTCTGTCCACAAGTCACTCCTCCTTGTCCCACAGAAGCTAATTCATGATTTCTAACTATGGTTTGTTGAATCATCTGTAAATGGCTGGGATTCCACATTGTGCTAAGATAAAGCATAATCCCAAGCACATAAACCAGAATGGCTGGCGTCATATAATACCTTAAACCAAAATTAAACTATGCTATGGCTCATTGTTCAGGGTTTGATCCTAGTCAGACTCTTCAATTGTGATGATTGGACAATTTTCCTAAAGGAGTTTTCCTGGTCTATAAATCCTGCCCAATCTTAAACATCCTAATCCAATTTATTTATTTATTTAGAAAATTTATATTGCCGCCTACTCGCACATGGTGACTCAAAGTGTATGAAAAAGTGTATGAAAGAAATAAAAATAATAAAAAAGAAAAATAATAAAATAACCCCACCCCGGCGACAACACACATTCATATTAGCCATTTAATGGGCTCCATCTCATTTTGGAATTTTTTAGCTAGAACCTTTGTCCGTATGTTTTGTTGGCTAATATGTAAAGGCTTGTTTGTTTCTGTAGCAGTTATCTGTATAAGTTTCCAAAGGTCAACACTCGATCCGTAGTGATTATTTGGACTAGTCTCCATGAGGTAAAACAGTAAGAGTTTGCCGGAGACTTCTTGGTTAAGTCTTTCCTGGAACTGAGCTGACTTCAATGCAGTGATGGCAATAGCTTTGAATCACTGAGTTCAGTCAAGATTGGCCAGATCAGAAACTAAACCCTCCCCGATTCTACAATTCTAAGATACTTAAATGGACACAAACACAAATGAGAAATAATGGTAATTCATTATATTTACCTGGTTGCTGCTTTATCCTTTAGTGTGTGTCAAGCACAGATTAGCTACAAAGAGGTGTTTTTCATTTTTCTCATAATTAAACCACAGATCTATCCATACCCCATTGAACAAAAAGTTCAAGATACCACAATTGTAATCCCCTCTAGCAGCAGAAAAAATGGCAATGCTTGCTTAGCCCCTGAACTTACTATAATAGATGCAGTTCTTATGAGGCAGTAACTTTTGCATGTGTCAAAAAAAATATTTTTTTAAAAAAATAACCAAAATCTTGCAAAGAATCCTCAGTATCCTTCTCTCAAAGACCTTGGTTAACTTTTTGAAAATATGTGTGCATGAGCAGGAGAGCTCCGAAGACCAGTGGGTCCCCTGAATTGTGCGCATGTGCACCGGAGGCCCGAACACCAGCTGGGGCGTGCGTGCATGCGCAGCTGCTGGTGAGTTGGGCGAAAGCTCATGTGCCCGGAAAGATGTCTCAGCGTGCCACCTTGGGCATGCGTACCATAGGTTCGCCATCATGGATCTAAGTATTCGGTAGCCCAGTGGTTAGTGTGCAGTATTGCAGGATACTTCTGCTGACTGCCAGCTGACTGCAATTTGGCAGTTCAAATCTCACCAGGCTCAAGGTTGACTCTTCCATCCTTCTGAGGTGGGTAAAATGAGGATCTAGATTGTTGGGGGCAATATGCTGAATCTGTAAATCACGTAGAGAGGGCTGTAAAGCACTGTGAAGCGGAATATAAGTCTAAGTGCTATTGCTATTCTAACAATAATGATAGTTATAATGGTTGTGAAACCTATTTTAAAAGTGGAACAGATATAAAAATGATAAAGAAATTTTTTCAGCATGTTTCAAAACATTCAACATCTGACATCATTTTTAGACTCCTAGATTTCCTGTATGTGAACAAAAATTGATTTCATTAAACATAAAATTGTTTGTTTAGTGACCATGTCTGGTATGGTAAATCTTTTACTTAATTTTCAGTCTTAATAGCTAGTGGGACAAATCCATTGTACTTCATTCTGTGTTGAACCTCATAATGCTCTTGAGTTTATTTATTTATTTTTTTAAAATTATATGGCTGCCCAACTTACCATCGGTGATTCCAGGTGATTATAAAAATAAAAACCCAATATAAAAACCATCAAAAGCAGTAACTCCCCACCCCTGAAGAATTATCAATTGCAATCATGGTTGGGCCCTGAGGGACAGTCTGGTATAGTGGTTAAGGCATTGGGCTACAAACCTGGAGACGATTGAGTTTTAGTCCTGCCTTAGGCCCAAAGTCAGTTAGGCCACTCTCAGCACTAGGAAAAAGGCAATGGTAAACCAATTCTGAAAATCTTGCCAAGGAAACTTCAGGGACTTGTTTATATAGTCATCAGCAGTCAAGACTGGCTTAGAGGAAAACACTCCCATACAATCTTAGTTGGAGGCTTTAAAGCGGGAACATTGGAATTACAGGGAAGCTGCTGCCCATGCCTATGCAAGTCAGTCCCAGCAACCTATGCCTGCAAGTGATTCCATGTGTTTCTTCCCAGGAAACTGTTTTCAAATATTTTGAAATCCGGCTTTTCTTTCTTCTTTAATATGAAAGATAATGCATAGTCCAGCTTCTGTAGCAATCGAACATTTTGCAACATGTATTGTATTGTATTGTCTGATTTTATTCAAATAAAAATATTTTATTCTTTAAGTTTTCTTGATCAAATACTGGAAACAAATTAGCAAAATATCTGAGACACATATACACAAGAGAGATGAAAACTGGATTTTCTTCCAAGCGGGTGATAAGCTGGATCACTTTCAATGATATTTTATGGTCTTCTGTTCTTTTTTTTGGGGTGTGGGGGGGAAACCAGACACACAAATTATTCTGTTCAGATCTCCTATGGAAATAAGTATGTTCGTTTGCTCAGTAAATGCCATAGGTGGATTCATTACTGTCTCTGTACCTGTCCAGGTACCTCAGAGGCTCACGGTGTGGATATTTCTTCTGGGGAGGATGATATCTGGGTGGCCGAACAAAGTCAAACACTGGTTCCTTCATGTCTATAAAAGGAAGAGAGAATGTTAGCACTTCTCAACAATTACAAACATAACAAGCTCTGATCTTAAGATTCTTATCTCAATGGTTGACCAATTAATGGCTCATCAGTTTTCTATCTTTTATCTGTCATGGTCTGCAGTATTTTCACTGTGCCCTGAAAAAGCATATGCTTCCTTCTCTTCCTAATAAAGTGAAAAGAAGCGAATTC